AAATGTGTAGTGCAGCAACCACCCACCTGCTCTTGTAACATAATGTACTAACTTCCAACAAGCGCAAGCATGAGGGCAGTGCTCCAAAGAAACTTGCTCTCATTTTTGTTTTTGTGATCATCGTCGCCCGTTCTCACTTCATCAGCTGTGTATGTACCAAAACAGATCTGCAACCACACGAAGATGGCAGCAACATGAAGGGAAGATGAAAAGGCATTTTTGCTTGTATTGAAAATAAAGCAGCATATGAGAAAAAACATCATTCCAGGGGTTACCTATCCAATTGAAGGAGAATCATATACATGTCACACTGCAAGGGAACCATTCATAGACAACTAATTGATGGAAGCAATGGACTTAGGTAATTCAAACTTTACAGCACAGTTTGCTATCTGCATCAGCAAAGCCGACAAACAAGTTAGTGACATAATTTTGCCATGAAAGCATAGTTGAATTTCGCTGTTAACATTTGACTAATACATAAGCTTAAATGATGCCTTCACATTTTCCCCTACTTTATCATCCCAATCAAACTCTGAAAGCGGGAAAAAAATTTAGACATGAATTGACAAGGAAAGATAGCAATGTGAAAGTTTTAATCAATCCAGTTTATCACTTAAACGTTCAAGTTTGACAATCGGGATCTTTTCCTTTATATTGAGATGAATATGCATTCCACCACAATCAAATCACATAAGTATGAGAAAGAAATAAAAAACATCATCCAGGGTTACCTCATCGCCCATGTGGGAGAATCATATTCATGACAGATAAGCCAGAGCACGATTCGACGACTAGTAATTAATGTAAGCTAACACAAGTTGCCCTCGGATGATATTGTCTTGAAATTTTACGATACATGGTTTACAGGGGGGAACAAGCACGGAAGGAAGATGGAAGGGTCGCGTAGTTGAATTAAACAATTAAAAACTGATTGATTGATCGATTAAAACAGTATAAATGACGGCAAATAATTGAAGAGAAACTTTGTACAGAATCTGAATCTTGGCTATGGAATGAAAATGGTGCTCTGTACGTACCTGACTTTGACTTTGAGATCTCAAATGATGACTTGATCATCTATCTCGATGCAAGGAATGTGAGCTATCTTGCTCCACTCTTCTCCCGTCTTCTCCCGACACCTCTTCCTCAGAGAAGGACATTTTTTGATGCTCAGAAAAGAGAGCGATGCCGGAAAACCCTCTTTTGGCAGGAATTTGAGACGACGACAGCTTGTAATTTCGAGCTCTTGGAGACAATTGAGGTGTTGAAGTCCCTTTCCCTTCAAAGATTTCAGCCTATTCACTCCAGAGATTTCGAGACCGTGAAGTGTGGTAGGGAGCAGCTGTTCCTTGAGCACAGTGTCCAACAAATCCTCGCTGCTCCAGATCCGAAATGTTCGGAGGGAGACAAGTCGTTGCAAACCCCAGTACTCCACTGAAGGCCTCAGTTTCTCACAACCTATGATTCCAAATGATTGTAGGTTGGGAGGCAAACCCCCTTCTGCAAATGACTCAACATTTGGAAGATTGTATATATCTAAGTCTCGAAGGGCGGTGAGGGTGTGTAATCGGTCGGGCAATAACTTCAAATTCTTGCATCCCCAGACTGTAAATCGAGCCAGTTTGGGAGTGTGCAATCCCCCGTGGGGAAAAGAGACCAGATTTGGACAGTCATAGATAAAGAGAGAATCGAGATGAGTGAGATTTTCATCATCAGCTCCTTCTCCAATGGAAAGGGATTCTAGATTTTTACCGCCCTCGATATTAAGAAATGAAAGTTTGGGGAAAACGCCCAGCGGGAAGGACCTCAGTGAATCACAGCTGTCCCTCAATCTCAAATCTTGAAGGGATGTCAATTTGGCCATCATCTCATGAGATAGGAATTCTAATCTCCTGCATTTTTCTATTCCAAGATATGTCAACGAAGTGGGTAGACCGTTTCTCGGGAACGACAAGAGTGACGCGCAGTTAACGAGACTCAATCTTTCAAGACAACTGCTGAAGTGCGGCTGCAAGCAATCTGTGTGCTACTAAAAATTTGAATCCCAAGCCTCCAAAGCGAGGACAGCGACTCCGTCTCGAGTAACGACGAGAGACCAGGGCATCTAACTATCTTCAGTTCTTTAAGAGATTGTCGCAAGGATTCCGTGTTAACGATGAGAGACCAGGGTATCCATCTTGTTCTGGTAGCCCTTTCATGCAGAACCCTGCAGTCGTCCACTTCAAGTTGTCTCAAGCAAGGAAGACGATGAGGTAAGTTTCCTCTCAACTTCGGACAATTGTGTAAAATAAGCACCTCAAGACAAGGAAAGCAAGATTGACCACTACCTGGACTTGACAGCCATTCCTCCCACTCCGGCATCTCTTTAAACACTAGCTTCCTGAGAGATTGAAATGGTTGACTTAGAGAAGCTCCATTACCCCCGTAGAACTCAACATCAATACTCACAACAAATTTCATCCTTTCTATATAGAGCTCTTTGAGGGCGGGTAACCTTCCAACTGGTGGCAATGACAAGCAAGTACTACAATCAGTGAGATGCATGACTTGTATGCTGGAGAAGGAAGAGTCTCCCAACCAATCCGGAAACGTAGTTCCACCATAAAATCTGATGGTCAGCTTCACCAAATTTACGGAAGGTTGTAGGCTTTCAAGTACATGTCTCTCTTTTACGGAATCATTTGCATCCTCATGACCCCATGCCAACTCTACTTCGTGAAGGTCTTTCTTATCCTTCAAATTGGCCCCCAAGGCATCCATAGGATTGACTACATTTTGCAGATTCAAGATAGATAGTTTTCCTCGAAGGTTCGACAATTGCCCCAGTTCTCCAATGCCACTTGACCTTGTAGATTTCCCCAACACAAAAGCAGTCAATGTACTCAAACTTTTTAGTCTACCCATTTGCACCGGCATCTCTTTTATACAAGTTTCTCTAATATCAAGAAGACGCAAATTAATCAATTTCCTCATGTCTGCAGGCAATTCAACAAGAGAGGAACAACCTAACAATAATAGAGTTTGCAAATTGTAGAGCTCACACATCGTATTTGGTAACGTTTTAACTGCAGTGTAAGAGAGGTCGATGTAGCGCAAGCTTAAGTGTTTACCAATGTTATCAGGTAACTGAGTTATATTTTTATATCTTGCCAATGACAACACCCGTAAACATCTTTGTGCTAGTAACAAATCCTCTAGAACCTTTATGCTTACATATAGGCTCTTATCCCACTTATAGTATGGTCTTAAAGACATGGGAAACAAGGTGCGCAAACACTTAATTTCATCCAATGGCTTAAATTTTGCTACGGTATCAAATCTTTCTCTCATATATGACAAATGCCGAACTCGTTTAGGAACTTCATGTGGTTGTCCCTCACCCAACCTAAAACAAAATTCTCCAGACACACACACAGACATAGCCAAGTCGTTAATGAGATCATGCATTGTGAAACTTGATTTCCATGATCTTTGAAGTAGTGATCGTGACAATAGTTCATCAAAGTATCAAAGTATCTCTCCCACCGAGCTCTTCCAATCCTTGACCACTCTCAGCTTGTGGAATTAAACCAAGTGCCATCCAAAGTTGAATTATATTTTCCTTTTCAAATTCATAGTCTTTTGGAAAAATTGAGAGATAAGCAAAGCATTGTTTTAAATAAGTAGGGAGATAATGGTAACTCAATCTTAAAGATGGAAGAACACTTTTTATCATGTAATGTCTCCCAAAGATTGTTGTTCAATATGTGACTCCATTCCTTGTAACCTACATTACAACCTAAGAGACCCCCAAGTGCTTTTGCAGCTAAAGGAAGACCGTCACACTTGTGTGCAATTTGCTTACCAATTTCTTCCAACTCTGGATGTGCACTAGGATTTTCATTTCTAAATGCATGTTTTGAGAGTAACAACCAACAATCTTCATCTGACAAATGTCTCAAGTAGTGAATAGGACCAGTGTGCACAAGGGATGCACACACTTTCGTTCCTTGTTGTCACTATGACCTTACTTACTTCCCCTCGCCCCATAAGTAAAGGGAGCCCGTACAAGATCCCAATCACTATAGTTGTCATTCCAAAGGTCATCCAACACAAATAGGAATTTTTTCCCCCTCACTTGTTCCCTAAGTTCAACTTGAAGCAAGCTCATATCTTGAAGACTGCAAGGTTTTGAGATAATTGATTCAATAAGGGTTTTAGTTACCCTAATATCATCGAAATCTTCGGAAACACAGGCCCAAGCTGTAACATCAAAAATGCTCTTTTATTTTTTTTATCATTGTAAAGGACCCGAGCAAGGGTTGTCTTACCAACCCCGCCCATTCCCACTATGGGGATTACCGATATGTGGCTACTACTTGCATTATCCGATCGCAACATCCTTTTCAACTTCCCTTTCATCTCTTTCCCTACCACAAGCACTAAATTCATGCTCAACAAAGGATGTTGTGGGAGTTCTTTGAGAAACTGTTCCCTTGACAACTCCTATAAGACCAAGGAGATCTTTTTGTTTCGCAAGGTGTTCTAGTCTCTCAAATATCACTTGTACCCTACCATTCATGCCTTGACAAAAAGGATTAAGAGAGGTAGATAGGAAGTTCCACACCTGGGTTTTCTTAGTTTGATATTCAGCTTCCACCTTGGAGCGCAAAACTTCAGCATCGATCTCATCCAGTAGATCCTCCGCATCAAAGACAGCGTGTTTGAGCTCGTTGAGCCCACATCCCCACAGCAGGGTTGACAATCTGCTTCTCCTCTGCATCATTGAGCACTGCATGAAGGGTCAACAACGTCAGCTTCAGTTTCTCCAATAGTGAATGGTCAAGTTTTTTCCGCCGGAAGAAGTCCACGAGCTCGCCAGAAGAAACCTTGTCGCATAGCGTCCGGATGGAAGCAGAGAGAAAAGCCTCTCCGATCAAAGCTCCTGCCATTTCACTCTCTCTCTCTCTGTTGTTTTTTTTTTTTTTTTTTTTTTTTTTTTTTTTTTTTCTTGTCTTCAAAGAAGTGTTGAGGTGAGGAAGAGTGATTGATTTCGTTTCGGAAAGAGACGACTTGATATATTTTCTAGTCAATGGTTCAGTGGACCTCACATGTTAATCATAGAGTCTCAGTTCCATATAATTTAACTGACAATTTCCTAGTAGTTGGTGGTCAATAGTTGAGCGGACCACACGCGTAATCATAAGAGTGTTTGTTCCCTATAATTTAAGTGACAATTTCCTAGTAGTTGGTTGGTGTGAGAGTGACAGGTTGTAGGCTTCCTTCTAACTTTGAATCATCTTCTTCTTTGTGAGTGATGCATGCATGAAACAGTTGATCATGTCTGGTGTATTGCTGAACTTAAACAAACAACTCAGTTCCTAATCATATATTCGATTCATTATTCCTCTAAATAACAGCTCGATCGAGCTTAAAATTTACAGTTAATTTGTGTGCCCTTGTTTGGTAATTAACCAGAACATCATTATTGTCTTTTTTATAATAAAAATTGCGTTGGGAGTTTGCTCTTAGACGGGCAGATACAACACATGATTAGTCAAATTGATTACCTAATTAATTAAGATTAAGATTGGGATCTTTTTCTTTTTATGTTATCATGCATTTTAATTAATAGATTGGAGTAATATAATGCATAAGCGTGTACATATGATATGAGTAAAAGATTCGGAACAAAGAGAAAGAGACAATTTTTGAGTCACCAAATGCAACAATTATTGTTGGCCATAACTATTAGGTGCAAGAAGAAAGAGACCATCACTAAAGACCTAATGAGTAATGCTAGATAGACTAGATTAAAATTTACAAATTAAATGATGTGTCATCAATAAGAAATAAGCATGTTGATCAATTGAAACACGTAAGTAATAATCTAATTATCAACTTCCATGTTATTTAATTTACAAAATTTAGATTGTAAATTTAATCTCTCTAGCATTATCTTAAAGATTATAATATCTTTAATAATATAGCCTGTGGAAATCGCCTATTATTGACCAAGTCTACAGCCAACCAAGAGTCTCTCCTTGCCCACTTAATCAAAAGAATTAAACAATGGAAGGAAAAAGATAATGCTAGAGAGACAGCATACAACAACAACAAACAACAACAACAACAACAAAGCCTTTTCCCATTAAGTGGGGTCGGCTATATGAATCCTAGAACGCCATTGTGCTCGGTTTTGTGTCATGTCCTCCGTTAGATCCAAGTACTCTAAGTCTTTGCTTAGAGTCTCTTCCAAAGTTTTCCTAGGTCTTCCTCTACCCCTTCAGCCTGAACCTCTGTCCCGTAGTCACATCTTCGAACCGGAGCGTCAGTAGGCCTTCTTTGCACATGTCCAAATCACCGGAACCGATTTTCTCTCATCTTTCCTTCAATTTCGGCTACTCCTACTTTACCTCGGATATCCTCATTCCCAATCTTATCCTTTCTCGTGTGCCCACACATCCCACGAAGCATCCTCATCTCCGCCACACCTACTTTGTGTACGTGTTGATGCTTCATCGCCCAACATTTTGTGCCATACAACATCGCTGGCCTTATTGCCGTCCTATAAAATTTTCCCTTGAGCTTCAGTTGCCTACGACGGTCACACAACACGCTGGATGCACTCTTACACTTCATCCATCCAGCTTGTATTCTATGGTTGAGATCTCCATCTAATTCTCCGTTCTCTTGCACGATAGATCCTAGGTAGCAAAAACGGTCGCTTTTTGTGATCTTCGCTATATTGCTCCGGTCATTAGTGTGGATAAGTATATAAATGGATAAAGATAGGAAAGCAAACACAAGATGTACGTGGTTCACCCAGATTGGCTACGTCCACGGAATAGAGGAGTTCTCATTAATTATGAAGGGTTTACACAAATACATAGGTTTAAGCTCTCCTTTAGTGAGTACAAGTGAATGATTTAGTACAAATGACATTAGGAAATATTGTGGGAGAATAATCTCGTAATCACGAAACTTCTAAGTATCTGAGTGTGGTATCGTCTTGACTTGCCTTATCTGTCTCATAGGT